CGCCTGAGGGAATAAATGAAGTATATTAGAATAAAGAATAACTATTTATTGAACAAAGCATATTTTAACAGTTGTCAAGACAAAAATAAAGATTAATAGAGGAATATTTAAAAATAAATAAGATTATACATCCAAAACAGTATTCAACAATAATACAGGTTATGCACAACAAATACATCACCAGACAAAAACTTATAAAACAAAAAACCGATCACAAAATAAAAAGTATCCTAACAACAATGAAGGGCCCAAAAATGGAAAAAAAAAAACATTAATACTAATGTGTAAACATAATTTGTGTAGTGATTAAGTAATAAACATTTCCTCAGAGTCGCGTCTATTATTACTGGCGTTTCGATGAGGATCAGCATTTAAAACTAGTTTATCCCGCCAGGTTTAAAAGGTTTTAATGACAGGTTTTATTAGCAGGTTTCAATAGCAGGTTTTAATAACAGGATTTAATAACAGGATTTAATAACAGGATTTAATAACAGGATTTAATAACAAGATTTAATAACAGACATTGGTTTTGTTGTTTCAATATAACTAGAACTTTTTAAATTGAATTTTACAAACTATACAATTGTTGCATAAAAAAAGAAAAGTTATTTTTAAGCGAAAAATAGAAAATGCCTTACTTATCAGAATTAGGGATGTACTGGAATTTCGGTCGGTCAAAAAATCATTGTCATAAAGGGTATGTATACATCAATTTCTTTGTAAAGCCGTCTACCCAGTGGACATGCGTCGTCCGGGGGACGTCCGTCGGACGTTTCACGGACGTCCGTAAGACGTTCAAATCTCCCCAACCAAGCATGCCCACGCAAACAATCACATATCTATCTCCCCGACCAAGCATGCCATACAACTTTATGATACAATTATAAACACATGTTTATAATTGTATCATAAAGTATCATAAAAATTGATACTTTATGATACACTTATAAACATGTGTTTATAATTGTATCATAAAAACACATGTTTTAGTTTCACACACACACACAAACAATCACAATCTATCTCTATCACACACACACACAAACAATCACAATCTATCTCCCCGACCAAGCATGCCATACAACTTTATGGTACAATTATAAACACATGTTATAATTTCTTCAAAAAATTAGCATTGTTAATGAAATAATGAATTAGAGAAAATTATGTTAAATTTAAACAGTTTATGTTTACATATAAACGAACTTGGTCCATTAGGTTAATGGTCAAACTAACCTTTGATTGTAGATATTTAATATGGGCAAGCCAGAACAAATTTTTTGGTAATTTAAGGGGAAGGTTACCTTTTTGCAATTTTTTTATGAAACAAGGTGTACTTTGTTTTTTTGGCGTTTTATGAGAGTTAATTTGCCATAAACCATTCATTTACCATATTAAATTTAAAATTCATGTCTGCATAAAGTTGTGTAATACTATTGTTAGAAAAGAAATGGATTGGTATCATTTGCAAACATAATTAAGTTTAACTTTACTGATGTAATGTTTAAATCATTTATGTAAACTAAGAATAAAAGGGAAAAAAAAAAGAATACAAAAAATAACAATAAAAAATTATAACAACAGTCTTTCGAGTTTCAAACTTTTCAGTCTGAATATATTAAAAATTGTTGCTGACATAGATATCTTTTGAATGATAATTTTATTGATCGCCAAGCAACTGTGAGAAATGCTATTTTGCAGCACGTTTTGTCGTGTTTAAAATGCATAAAATTTTTAAGATAAAAAGTTTGACAAGCCACCTTGCACGGCAAGTTTCTTTTAATTCTCCATCAATTGATCGTTTTAGAACTTTTTTCTTGTGAAAGTCTACAAACCCTTGCTCATTTGATTTTCAGAGTTGCAAAAGTATTTAGGTGCACAGCATGTAAAACCCCTAATTTCTTTACTTGTTTTTCAATTGGTTGACATAGTTTGTTGATCTGTTGTATTGCCATCTTTGACGTCAAATGTTTTGCAACAGCTTGCAAAGTTAACTCCAACCATAGAGTTATTAATATAACTTTTGAATTTGACATTATTAAACTAATAAAATACGCTCTAATTATATTATAATGAATAAAAGCATTTATCCGATAAAAAAAATCATATCAAGCAAATTTTTATATAAAATACTGCTTTAGTCTAATGTTAACGTACAGTATATAATTTTACTGAAGTTTTAAGAACAAAAAAAAGGTTAAAACAACATTTTTTGTTGTAAAAAATTAACAAACAACTAAAATTTAATAACTTAACAAAAATGTTTCTAAACGGATCTTTATCAAGTCATCGAGTGGCTAAAACCCGAAACACACACTGTTTAATATGCAACAGACTTGATTGTTATAAAAACAATTGATAACACAGGTCTACAAAAAAAAACTTTTTTTCTGTTGCATAAGATATTGACTTATTTTTATGTATTTTTAAACGCTGAATCCAAAAATAAGGTCCGTTTCTGTTGGTAAGCTCTAGTTTTTTTTGCAATTTTCAATTTATCATTTTTTTAAAAGTTATGTTTTTTCATAGCTATTTTTATTCAATAGTTATAAAAAAGTAACCATCTCATTGTTTTTATTAGATCAAATATATATTATGATGGCTTCTTCAAATCGACATAAGTGCAAGCATAATCCTAACTCATTTTGCTATATATGTGGTTGCTTTGCACTTGTTTGACAAAGACGAAACATTAATAATTTTGTGAAACTAGCATATGAATCGTATTTCGATATTAAACTTGGTGACCAAGACAAAAAGTGGTATGCATACTCCACATACTGTATGCCATATTTGTGAAGAAAGTCTTCGAGATTGGACAAAAGGAAAAAGAAATAATTTATCTTTTGGAGTCCTTAGGGCTTGGAGGGAACCACTAAATCATATTGATGACTGCTATTTTTGTCTTGTTGATACTAGTGGTGTTGGCAAAATTAAGAGACAAAAAATAACTTATCCCAACATTCTTTCTGCTATTAGACCAATTCAACATTCTAACGAGATTCCATTTCCAATTTTTAAAGGTTTATTTTTGTCAGAAGATGAGCAAAGCGTGTCTGCTACAGAAACAGAAGAATTTTTACCAGATTTGGAAGATTTCTCATCTAATGCTAAACAATTCAGTTTGCCTCAGTGTTTTAGTCAGATAGAACTAAATGACTTAGTTCGTGATTTAAGACTTTCTCAACAAGCAGCAGAAGTATTAGCGTCACGTTTAATTTATTTGTTTACTGTCATGATATTTTAGGTCTCTTACTACAGTTGGGTATTTCAGTATATAATCCAGCAGAATGGAGACTTTTTATCGATAGCTCAAAGCGAAGCCTCAAATGCGTTATATTGCACAATGGAAATATTTTTGGTTTTGTACCAATTGGTCATTCTGTTTATTTGCGAGAAACTTACGATGACATTAAAATGGTGCTTAACTTGATTAAATATCATGAACACAACTGGATTATTTGAGTAGATCTAAAAATGGTTAACTTTCTACTTGGTCAGCAGAAAGGTTTTACAAAATTTCCATCTTATCTCTGTATGTGGGACAGTCGAGCGAGAAATCAACACTGGATACAAAAAGAATGGCCCATTTGCAAGACTCTCACAGTGGGCATGCAAAATATTGTGAATGAACCGATTGTTAGTCGAAATAAAATTGTTTTTCCACCACTCCATCTTAAACTTGGATTCATGAAACAATTTGTTAAAGACTAAAAACTGATTTCAGTATATAGTTAAATCATTACGAGGAGAAAAAAAAAGCAGGAGTTTTTAATGGGCCACAAATTCGCTATCTTATAAAAGATAAAGAATTCATTAAAACGATGAATATCAAAGAGGAAACGGCTTGGTTATTGTTTGTGATTGTTATAAAAAATTTTCTTGGAAATAAAAAAGCAGAAAACTATGCAGATTTAGTTGATAAAATGTTGAAAGCCTTTTCTGATCTTGGATGTAAAATGAGTATAAAGCTTCATTATATAAATAGTCATCTTGACCAGTTTCCTGAAAATCTTGGAAATGTGAGAGAAGAGCAAGGAGAGCGATTCCATCAAGATCTTAAGACATTCGAAGATCGTTACCAAGGACGTTGGGACATATGATGGCAGACTACTGCTGGGGCATCAAGCGAGAAGACACAAGAAAAGTTTATAAACGAAAGAGCAACAAGCAAAAGTTTTTTCCTGATTAAGTAGTTGTAAATAAGCAATATAATCTGCAATCTTTTTTAAAACTAAAGTAAAAAAGATTTTGATCTTTCACTAAAGTAAAAGATTTTGTTATTAATCAATAAAAAGTTAATAACTTTGCTAGGACTTGGATATTTGAAAAATATTTATTTTAATCAGTTTATATTTAGTTTCATTTGCTTTCTGTTTTTGTTTTAATTTTGTAAACAACTTTTATTCTAAAAAGTATATTCTAGCATTTCCAAATGAGTTTCAAATCTGTATTTTAGAACAATTTCTACTGTTTTGCAAAATTAAAAAAATATAAATTGCAAAAAATCTGTAGCATTCCATAAAAAATAAATGCCAGATTTGAATTCAGCGTATCAAAATTATATAAGAACAAGTGTCAAATTTAATGCAATAAATTGTTTGTAGACCTGTGTAATTGTTTACATAAACAAAAAAGATTTAAGATACATAAGAAATAGATATAGAGTAAAAAAAAGATACAAAATGTAAAAAGGTAAGGATTGTCACAGTTTAGATCTTTAATTTAGATCTACAGTATTTAAAAATTTAAAACAAAGAAAACTTATAAAGTTAAAAATTTATTTTAATTTCTTTAAAAACCTTTTTACATATAATATTAATGTTATTTTATAATTATACACATCTAATATAATATATATATATATATATATATATATATATATATATATATATATATATATATATATATATATATATATATATATATATATATATATATATATATATATATATATATATATATACATATATTTATATACAAGAAAACACAATAAAAACTTTAAATGCAGGATTCATATATAAAGATATACTATATAATATTTTATAAACAAGAAAACAACTCTTTAAATTGTAAAGCAAATTTTTAACTCGTGTATATGTTGCATCAAAATAAAAAACCATGCAAAAAACAGTAAGGTTAAGATGTAAGTGTAATTTCTCCATTATGGTAGCTCGAACAAGAACCGGAGTCTCGGTTTAGAAATTCATGAATATGTTTATTGACACTGAAAGATAAAAAAAACAACCGTAATCTTGGGAACAGCAACGTTTAAAACAGATATTACCTATATTAAGGTTTTTTTCAACTAACAGGAACCTGAGGCATATTACAATAATATAAAAACAGAATATTTAACACGCAATACACACACGCACACAAACACAAATATGTCTATCTATCCAGGGTCGGACTGGCGTGAAAAAACGGCCCGGAAAAGTTTTGGTCATGGCGGCCCACTTCATTGTATGTTACATATATTGAATATATATATATATATATATATATATATATATATATATATATATATATATATACATATATACATATATATATATATATATATAAATATATATATATATATATATATATATATATACATATATATACATATATATACATATATACATATATATATATATATATATAAATATATATATATATATATATATATATATATATATATATATATATATATATATATATAATATATATAAATTTATATATATATATATTTATATGTATATATATATGTATATATATATATATATATATATATATATATATATATATATATATATATATATATATATATATATATATATATATATATATATATATAATAATATAGATAAATTTATATATATATATATATATAAATTTATCTATATTATTATTGAAGGACCTTTTCATTTTTATATATTATTTTGCATTATTGTTTATTTTTATTTAAAGTATAAAAAAGAAATTTTAAACTTCCCAGCCTTAATAATGATAAAAAATAAATATTTCTAAAATACTGGTGTATGTTAGAGTCTAGAAATAGTAGAAATAATCGACACAACCGCTACTCAATATCGACTGTTATAGCAACTTTTTCATCGTTTGACTAGTCGATGCCAAAACATCAATGATTGCATCGTTATTAATTCTTGGAAGGTCTTTTTCACAAGACACAGCACGAATTATTGTAAACTTGACTGGCTCATCAATTTTCTAAATCTGTTCATAATATATTTCAATTTCAAAAAAAATGAAAAACCTTTCACAAGCAACTTGTGATGAGGATAATGCCAACACAAATTTGTAAGGCAGAAACAAGTTTGAATACGTAAGACTATGCAAATTGAACTTTTGGAGAACAAAGTAACAACAAGCAATACATTTTTTGCAAGATTTGCATTTATTTCTGTATCTATCGTTGTTTTCCACTTCTGGGATTGTAAAGACAAATTTCTATGGATTTAGATTGTTGGAAATTGTCCGAGACAGAATCAGATACTTCCGTGCGTTCATCTTCAAGAGTCATTTCGAAACTCTTTCATTTCCTTGCAAAGTCCAATAATTCCGTTTGATGCTGATCTTTTCTTACACTAGCATCAAATCTTCTGAGCAAACCACTCATCTCTGCTATGCGTCACTAGGGATTTTTTTTTCAAAATTTCTGCAAAATTTTTGGGATCTAAACAAGATAAATCAGCATATAAATTACCATGCTCTAAGAATCTCTGTTTTAAAGTACTGATTACTTGATTTATTACTATGTTGTGAACATTGAAACGAAATTTATCATTCGCACTTTCAAGTAGTTGGTATCTACTTTGCTTATTTCATTAATACTGTCTTGAACCATCTTATAGGCTCTTAGTATATCCATTCCAGTTGTTGGCAAATATTCAATGGCGTTGTGTGCTCAAAACAATTAAAAACAATTGCGCCATCAAAATAAATTTAAAACTTGTCAATGAATCTAAAAGAGCTTTCGCTCTGTAACGGACATCATTATAGAATTTGATTGATGTAGAAATATCATGAAATTTTTGTCACATGTCATTTTACAAAAAATCAATAACTTATGTTTCTTGATTATTTATTTATTTATTTACGTTATTTATTTACAAAATAATGACAAATAGTATTTAAATTTCGAATACTAAACATGCGAATAATTATTAGACAAATTAATTCGGATGAAACCATAAAAAAGTAAAAAAAAACTAAAGCTTTAGATGACTTTATTTTTTCTTTCTTAATTTAATTTTCTTTTTCTTTTTTTCCTTGTGGCGCCCCAGGACCTCGTGTCTCTCATAGGCTGCAGTCTATGTTAGCTTTTACCTAAATCCGCCATTGAGTTCATATACTTAATACTTGCTGACAAAATTTTGATGTGCAATCAACAAAATACATAGTGCAGCAAACATAATTTATAACAACAAAATATTATCAATAATACCAATGTATGACTTTTCTATCAGTGAACAATACATAACAAATAAGAAATTAAAAGATATACAAAATTATAAAACAAATAGTTTAATATTTGTTAACTAATTTGGTTTGTTTATGATAATATAATACTACTTATGGTCAGCTAAAGATGGCTGCCAAAACTTATATGATTAGCTCGCAGATATATTAGCCTGTAATTAGATGTAATTAGAGCCCAAAAAAAAGTTTTTATGCTTTTAGTTACATTTGAATTTACCGTTGATTATAATAATCAAAGGGAAATAAAATGTAGCCTAACTAAAAATATGATAACTACTTTGGGGGCAACCAGCCCACCGGGAATCTCCCAGCGTCCAGGCAGCCCAGTCCAAGCCTGTATCGATCTATCTATCTACTAATCTATCTATCTATCTATCTATCTATCTATCTATCTATCTATCTATCTATCTATCTATATATATATATATATATATATATATATTATATATATATATATATATATATATATATATATATATATATATATATGTATATATATATATTATTCGAATGACATTAACTTTTTAAATTTTTTATTTAATTTTTTATGTTTATTGCACTATTAGATAATTTAAAAAACAAAAGTATTTTAATTGAAATGTTTTCATGAAAAATCATAAGAATAATAAAAATGCTAAAGCGGGTAAAACTACATAAAAGTTGGCCCATCAATGACTGTAAACGTGGACCGTCGTGTCGAAGTTTTGAACCTTCGATTTCAAGAGAAGATAGTCTGAAAGAAAATCTTTGAATGTATCCCGGTGGGAAGCTAGCTTTATAGCGATTTTCAAGCGATTTTTATTTTCTAATTTTATTTTTTGCAAATGTCTTTAACATCTTTAAAAATTCGATTTTTAGTGTTGAGTCTATTATAATTATGAAAATAATTGAACTTTAAACATTGCGATTTTGTAGCAATGTGTCGCTAGCTACATATCGTAGCTTTGTAGCTAGCTACAAAATGTCTACAAATCTATAGCTGGTTGATAGCTACATATCAAAATTTTTTAGACAACGATTTATTACGATATGACGCTCGGTACAATAGCCAGTGGATCTTCAGCTTATAAAGCTAGTTGTCCTCTTAGCCAAATCGCTGTCTTTATCTTTAAAAATATCGATAACTTTTCGCTAACTTAAAAAAGCTAGCGATCCTCGTGGCCAAATCGCTGTCTTTATCGTAACGATTAAAGCTAGCTATTCGCTAGCCGATTTCCCACCGGGATGGTGTGTGTTATCGACTGTAAAACATGGTGAATGTAGTAGTGTTGAGGTTGTTTTGGTCGGATTGCCATAGGTGGCATTGTAAAAACAAAGGTAATAACAACAAAAGTAGTTTACCTGGACACTTAAAAAAGTCATGCTATTCCCTTGGAAAGTTGGGTTAATGGAAAACCATTTAATTTTTTAGAAGAATATGATTTAAAGCTTAAATCCAAAACATTTTCTTCAGAACATTGAACAGTTCTTTGACTGAGTTCTAGAATGATCAATTATTGAATAGATTGATTTAACCTCCCCAATCAAAATATTTCTCTTTTATCGGAATTTTATGAGATTAATTTCTCTCTTTTACTAAATTTTATGAGATTAAATGTCAAAAGCTAATGCCAAATCATGCATAAGATGTGGAAAAACTTATAAGTTAGTGCCATAAAATTAACTTTGACAAATTGGATAAACCGTTAAGTAGAATGCCAAGAATATATATGGCAGTTATTGTCTCTAAGATTGATTAATAGGCAAGTAAATTATAAACTAATCTAACTTTATATAGTTAGATAGTTAAATTTTTTTTTTTAAACCTAATAAAGAGGAAAAAAACATATAATTCAGGTAGATTTTGTTTTCAGTGTTTCTCCCAATAGTAAATTAAACTTTGATATCTTATATAAAAAAATATGACCATTCAAATAATTATGGAAGGTAGTGTATATAAATATACAGGGCCTATTCTAGGAAAAAAAATTTGGATACATATACATATATGGATATACATACATATACCTGATATATATACATATACAACTATATATATATATATATATGTATATACATATATATATATAGTTATATATATAGTCAACTTTATAAAATATATATTTTTTTTGTTTTTTATATTAATTTCATATTTAAATACAAAATAATTAAAACAATTTATTGATTTGATAATCAAATTATAATCGAAGTTTATTTAAAAATTTACATGATTTTTTTTTTGTTCTATAACGAAAAATACCCGCAAATGAAAAATAAACTATTATGGTTAAAAAAGCCTTTTTTCTAAATAGTAGCACTTTTCTAAATAAAAGCACCAAAGTAGCACTAATAAACAGAAAGCATTCATCATCAACAGATGCTTTTTCTCTATTAACTAAAATTTTGATTGGTTAAAAAAAATTCTTGATATTTTAATTGTATTTCTTTTTATCAGCTTTTTTTTTATGCTTATTTATGGTATAAAGTTTTGTTTAATATGTCTTAATTCTAAATTATATTTAAGGAAGTCAAAAGTGATAAAAGGTCAAAAATTAGAAAAGAAGACAATAGGAAAGAAGTTAAAAATTGTGAAAAAAAGATAAGCCAATGTTTTTAATTAAGCAGATAATAAAAATATTGATTTTAGAAAAAATAACAGGGAAATATGAAGCATTATTTCCAAACTTTCACTATTAAGCATTAATAATGTTGCGTATGATTCCACTCTTTGCTTTAAACATTTGCTTGGAGCCTTATAGAATAGTTACAAGTTTTTGTGGCTTTCAGATGTGAAAACTTATGTTAATGCTTCTGAACTATTTTTTGGCGAATTTTTTTGTAAAAAAAAACACTTCAGACCACATTTAGTTTGTAAGAGAAAATTTTGCCAAAAAAAAAATGGTTCAGAACAAACCACTATACTTCCTACTGAGGCAAATCTTAGTAAAAGCATCTTTTTATGGAAAGTATATATAAAAAATTTGTATTAGCTTGCAAAGTTGAAACCGATTGAGAATTTGATAAGAATAAGTTTGTTGTTTTTGACTTACATAAGTTACCAAAATCAGAGGAGGAGATTGATTTGTACAAAGTAGAACAGATCCATGTTATTGTGAAGTATTATGGTACACAAAAAGAGGATGTGTTCAAAAAAAAAAGAAGCTTCTTTTATAAAGTTGATATTATTATGTATATTACAATTGTAAAATGGTGTGGATATAAGTCAGTCTTATTTCAAAAGAGCTACAGAAAAAGTATCAATATGAAATCTAAAAAAATATTTGAATAAATAAAATTTTTTTAAAATATGAATAGGAAAAAATCAGGAAGAAATTAAACATTATACATAAAACATGTAATGATTACAACCCAGCAAAGTTATAGAGCAAATGCATTTACTATAATGTAGTCAAAGAGTTGTAACCAAGCTGTTTTAAGTTACCATATAGTGCTGCTTGCATAAAATTTCTTTTCAAAGACTTGCATGCACAACCAACTGGAGTAAGTAACACTTAAAGCTCTTGTCCATATTGCCTCTGAAACACCAAATATAGGATTTTCAGAATTTTAAGATTTTGCGGATGCAGTAAAACTTTCGTTTGATCATATTTTGTACAACTTATCAATATAAAAGATCATCATAATTTTATACAATAAAGGAGATTTATTTTGCTTAAGCCACAGCACTTAATGTTTCCTTATCGAAGGAAAAACAGACATAAAATTTATAATTATATTCAATAATATGTAATCAGCAATAATATGTAATGCTAACTCACAATGAAAAAATCACAATGCAGAGCAAATAAATAAATTATAAATAAGTAAATACATTATTCCTACAAATAAAATAAATACATGTTCATGGACCACTCTTTGATTGTAAGACCCTTAAAAATGGTCCCAAATTACTAACCTATTCCTTGGAGTCAAAAAATTTTAATGCCTCGTTGCCTGGACATGGTAGTGTGTTTTAAAAAAAAAACATGCATTAAATGTAGTAAATGTTAGACCTAGCCCAGCATCACACTTAATTAAATTAAAGAAATTTCAAATTCAAATTTTAAATAAAATTTATTCTATAATTATAAACATAAAAAAAATAGAAAGAGGAGAAAGAATAGAAAGCAACACACAAAAAAGGATTACAAAACATACACAGCTGGTGATTCAACCATAGACATATGTCCAGCATTATCAATAATCTTCAGCTCAGAACCATATATAGTCTAAAAGAAAACATATAAAAAAAAACCTAATACCACAACTCTCTCTCTTATATATATATATATATATATATATATATATATATATATATATATATATATATATATATATATATATATATATATATATATATATATATATATATATATATATATATATATATATATATATTGATTTAAAATAATTTTTGTAAATTATGATCCCCAACGCGAAAAGACTATTTTGTATTTCAAATTTCATGACTTCACAACTAGTGGCAAAATTTTAAGAAGTTTTTTTAAATTAATTTAATAAAAAATATTTTTGAAGAAGAATGTTTTTAATAAACAACAGAAAATAATAATAAAATACTTTAATCAAGTATATTAAAGACAACTATTGATAAAGCTTATGTCATATTTAATACGCACTAATGAAGTGAATCAAAAATAGCTTATCATAAACAGTTAAAATATTTTAGATTATTATTCAGAAAATTGTAGTCTAAAATGTTTTACATGTTATGAATACTTATTATTTTTGAAACACAGTCTGGTTGTTTGTAAAAACTTATTTTTTTAATAAGTTTTTACAAACAACCATGATATACATGAAAATACAAAACATTTTACAAACTTACATGATATACATTAAAACACAAAAACTTTTACAAACTTGCATGATATACATGAAAATACAAAAACTATCAAGTAGAAGGCAGGATTGATCCCAACTTCCTGTTGTAAAAGTATTTATGATCTTATCTAGTAGGATTTCCTCTAGTATGTCAGGATTGCAGAAGCAGAGTAAAGTGTTGCGTTTATGTTCCTGAGTTGATTTGGTTCTCCAATTGAGGCCTCCATTACTTTAAAATTTTTATGATTTTCATGTTGTATTGTTATTTTTATAACGCTTATAAACACTTATACTAGTACTAACGCTTGTGCTTAATAAATAATTATTTCTCGCATCTCTTATAAAATAGCAAGCGAACTTTCATGTGCAAAGATATATAAATATTTATAATATTTCTATATTTAAATTATGTTAAAGGTATTAACATAACTTAAATAACACAGCTAAATAATGGTATTAACTTAATACCACTTTTGAGATGAGTTATTTAAATGGCTTTTTAGATGAGTTATTTAAATTTTTAGATGAGTTATTTAAATGATGAGTTATTTAGCTGGCATCATTTTGTTTACATTGGAAAATCGCTAGTTAAAATGTCGATTCAATAAAAACTATATAAAACAAATAAATGGTTTTGAATAAAAATGAAAACTTCAAACAAAAATTAACAAGCTAAATTACCCCAGATAATTATCATAAGATATTGTGCGATTATATCTATAATTATTATGCAAAAACCCAAAAAACTTTAAAACTACAATTAATTTAGAAGCTAGAATGGAATTAGTTGCACCAGTGCAAGTGCTACACTAAAAGATCATAAAATAAGTATTCAAAATAAACTCCAAACTTCAAAATAAAAAGTGAACAGGGCACAATAATAAAATTAAATTAGAAAAAATCAATAAACTTATTCAAAAAAAAAAAATTAAACTTGCAGCAGTGGAAAAATACCACTGATGTTATAAATTGGTTTTATAAAATTAGTAATAAAAATAAATGCACATTTATAAAATTTGATATTAATGATTTTTACGCTTCAATTACAGCAAAAATTTTAGATAAAACAATAGAATTTAGAAAAATCCAAACTGAAATTACAGACAACACTTTTTGTCAAATTAAAGATTGTAGAAAAACTTTACTTCACTTTAATAACAAGACGTGGGAGAAAAAAACCATGCATGAATGCTTTGATGTAACAATTGAAAGTTACGATGGAGAATGTGAATTTGCTCAAAAAATTATGAAAATAAACGACCAAACTAAAATTATCCTAATTCCAAAGAACTCTTTTCATATTTAATTTTTTAATTTATGTTTATATATATATATATATATATATATATATATATATATATATATATATATATATATATATATATATATATATATATATATATATATATATATATATATATATATATATATATATATATATATATATATATATATATATATATATATATATATATATATACAAGGGCTATTCTAAACTGTTTTCGACAATGTTTTTTTTTCCAGCCAAAAATGCCTATATTCGGCAATGCTTCTGCTAAATTTCTCCCAGACCGGGGGTATTGCTTGCCCAAATATATATGTATATATATATATTATATATATATATATATATGTATATATATATATATATGTATATATATATATATATATATATATACATATATATATATATATATATATATATATATATATATATATATATATATATATATATATATATATATATATATATATATATATATATATATATATATATATATATATATGTATATATATATATATATATATATATATATATATATATATATATATATATCAAAATTTAACTAAATAAAAAAATACAAGTTTATGATGAAACTTAAAGTTTCATGCCATTTCAGCAATCATCAGCCATATATATATTTTTTAATCAAGAAAAACCGTTAAAAATACAAAATACAAAAACAAAAATAGAATGGGTTCTGACGTCAAAACAAAACAAAAAGTAATGTAGAAACTAGATTAATTGCCGGTATTGAAATTAGCCAGAAGAAAATTGATTCTATGCCTGCACTTGGATATTATTTCACTTCTTTTATTTAAGAAGTTTGGATTTTTAGAGAATAGAATTTCATATTTCTCGTTTAAGCATAAACTACAAGATTTTTTTGTAGGGTTATAAGCATTGAACTGTTTGATTATTTTCCATTTAACTATAGGATTCAAATTAGCTTCCTTTAATTCTTTATCTTAAATGCACACAACTGCCATATTTTAAACAACAACAAAATTACCACTAAAAGCAATTGCAACTGACTTGATAAAAAGACCTGCCCTTTAGCAAACAAATGCTTAACAAATAACATTGTATACCAAGCTAATTTAACCTCCAATGATCCTGCCCAAACTTCTTTAAACAAATTTTACTTCGGTATAAGTGAAACACCTTTCAAAATTAGATACGCTAATCACATAAAATCATTTAATATTATCAGGTATAAAAATGACACTGAGTTTTTTTATTTTTTTTTTTATTTTAAGTTGATTTAGGTTCCCCAAGAAGTCCTTACAGTCTTATCACAGAGCACCGCGGAAGAGCATTTAATAGAAGTTCACGCCTCCTTCCCAACTGATATCGCAAGACTTGCCCAGAGGTGGGGTTTGAACCACGGATTCTACGTTTCTGAGGCAAGTTATCAAAGAAGTTTTGGAAATTAAAGGAAGCAAATTTGAATCCTATAGTTAAATGGAAAATAATCAAACAGTCCAATGCTTATAACCCTAAAAAAAAATCTTGTAGTTTATGCTTAAATGAGAAATATGAAATTCTATTCTCCAGAAATCCAAACTTATTAAATAAAAGAAGTGAAATAATATCCAAGTGCAGGCATAGAAACAAATTTCTTCTGGCTAATTTCGATACCGGTGATCAACCCAGTTTCTACATTACTTTTTGTTTTGTTTTGTGGTCAGAACCCATTCTATTGTTGTTTTTGTATTTTGTATTTTTAACGGTTTTTCTTGATTAAAAAATATATATAAAAATGTATATATATATATATATATATATATATATATATATATATATATATATATATATATATATATATATATATATATATATAATGAAAAAATTATATATAATTTAATATCTCTTATTAAATTATAAATATTTAATAAGATTATAAAATAATAAAATATACTGTCTTACAAGATTTCTTTGAACAATGTTTTTAATACTAATTAGCATCTTTCAATTTCAATTTTCTTTTCTTAATTATTAGTTTTTTTTTCAAGTTGAGGTAAACCCTTTAGGTAAAAGACCTTGTAAAAGAGAGTTTAACTACAAAATTTATGCAGGGAGCACTCTACCAGTACACCACTACTGCATATCTTCACTTAGATTAATACAAAAGAAAATTTAAATATTATCAACAGGGCAAATGATTATATTTCTCAAAAGATATATAAAGTCATAATAAGTTGTGATTCGTATCAGCAAGTCTGCAGGCTGTAAAAGAAACAATTAAACACAAAGAGATGACAAATAAGAAATTATTGACAACTTAATGTATAAAAATGACAAATAAGAAATTATTGGCAACTTAAATGTTCTTTTTCAAATTAAAAAAAAACTGATTTTTTTTAATTGAAAAAGAAGAGTGTAAAACTAAAAAAATGAAAATAGAAAAATAAGAAAAAACCTGAGCTAAATAGAAAAATTAAAGAAAAAACTTCAATTTGATTATACTTTAACTAACATTACAAGAATATTTTAAAATTATTCAATAGAATAAAAGTAATGTTAAATTATGTTTTGTGCTTAAATTATAAATGTTTTGTAATTTTGAAAAGAGCAACAAAAAACTCTGCAACTTAATTTTTCACAATTTACTCTAAATATTGATTTTTGTTGCAGTTATTGTAGCAAATTAGATATAAAATTACACAAAAAAATTTAACAGAAATTTCTTAAGCAAAAACAATCTAATTAATATCCAACTTATCATACTGGAAACATATCTTTCTACTGTAACTTCTATATTTCCTTGTACCCATACCCACAATAAAATTAAGAACTTTAAATTTTTTGTTAGATATAACAGGAGTAAGATATATTTATATAGGTGTAAATAGATTTCTGTATAAAAGTTAAACAGATGAACCAGAACAGACAGTTATACTGTCTCTTAATAAAGACAATTTACACTGTGTCTTTATTAAGAGATAGTATAACTGACTCTCTATTAAGAGACACATTATAACTCTCTATTAAAAAACATACTGTCTCTATTAAGAAACATACTGTCTTTTAACAGATGTCTCTTAGGGGTTTACACTTTAAAAATTTTTTTTTTGCAACTTGGGGCATCCATCTTTTTAAAACATTTTTTAAAAAAAAAGCAAAGAACATGATTATAAAATAAATTGTTTACACAACAAAATAACTGTTATATAATAAAACAAATTACCAATAATATGATTATAAAAAAAGATCTACCTCTTTCATCCATATTTCATCTTCCAGTGAAATAAATTTGTCTTCTTTTCCATGAATTAACATTATAGGTACTAGTATGTCTGAATAATACTGCTCATTAGAAAATGGCCATTTCTATATGTTTAATATGTAAATGTTTATATATATATATATGTATATATATATATATATATATATATATATATATATATATATATATATATATATATATATATATATATATATATATATATATATATATATATATATATATATATATCAACCCTCAGAATTAGGTAAAATGAGCTCAGCAATAATATGCCGACCTCAATCTTTTAGAGGTCGGCATCAGGTTGGCAAAAAAAATTTGTTACAAATTTATTTTGCCTAATTTTTTCCATTCTAATGTTAGAATACAAAACAAAATTAAATTTTTATGATTATTCTAGAAACCCTGCAAAGCCCTTGAAGACAATCCCCAATTTTCTGTTTAAACCAGTAGTGAAATTCCATGCATTCATAAACTTCATGAGCAACCAAGTTACAATATGACATTGATGTAATTTCTTGTATATAATAACTATTATATATATATTATATTATAAATATTATTGCTGCTTAATGACGTTTTATTAGTTTTTTAATTGAAATAAATGAAAAAAAAAAAGTTATTAAGAAGAGGTAAAGTTTTAAAAACTGAAATCAAGACCTGGCCAAACAACTTCATCATTTGCCAAAAGTTATCATTCAGCCTTAACCATCATCATTAACAATAGGATCTCTTACTTGTGCTTCTAATTTACTTAGTAACTGTTATTTAATTGAAAGCCATAATCTTTAATCATTGGTTCCAAACCTCCCCAGTCTTTTTTTATTTTTTAATGACACAGTAAAAGAAAAATGTCAAAAAAACATGTCACAAACCAATAAATTGGGTATATTATATGGATATCTTGTCTGAAGCAAAAACTGTATAAGTGTTTAATTAAAAATTAATTTTAGTATTAGAATGCTAGAGTGATTTGGATGTTTAACAATGGGTGTAATATAAATAAATGTAAGAATAACTGTCAGTAAAAGTATAGTCATTATATTCGAGTTAAACTAGAGTAAGATTTCTTTGCAAACAACTCTGTTTTATTCTAGGGAGAAGTAAAAAGATCATACCCATGCATTAGAGACTAAATGTTAGACTTACTTTAGTTAATGACACTGTTGAAGACTAACCAAAAGTCTCTAGAATCTTAAATCTGATATAAGATACATGATTAATTAAACTGAGAATAACAGAGCTTAACATCAGACAGGACTTTTTTACATTAGCTTATTGCAATAATAAAAGGACATCTTAAGGGAGATGTTCTTGTAAAAAATATGAAAGAAATGATTAATGTTGAAAAATGTGGAGTAGAATGAGGCTTGACTTGAAATCAAAGAGAAATAATTAAAGCTTCCAAACTATTATTCCAGAAGGAATAAAAGCTTTCAAGATTTTTGCATACATATTATGGATATAAACATATCTGTTTGCAATTGGTATTCTTTTATGCTGTTGATGAAGTTCTTTTATGCTGGTCATGGTCATAATGATGATATGCTGTTGATGATGCTGGTCATGGCCATGATGATGATAATGATGATCATCATCATTATCATTATCATCATTATCATAATGATAATCATGATAATAATGATGATTATAACAATCATGTTGATCATAATGATGTTTATATATGCATATATAAGGCTTGGACAGGAATAGCATATGATCGCACTCTGCAGCTGACCACACTAATAGTTTTTTTTCTTTAGAACTTGACCACAGTTATTTTGATGTTTTAACAATTTAAATGCAATAAAAAAAGTGTTATGTTGTGAATAACTTTTTATCATTGATCTTTTCTAAAGATTTTTAAGTTACTATAAACTATGAATGTTCAAAAGTTTTTGTGACGACTTGCTTAGAACTTGTGTAGGAACATTTTATATGAATTATACAAAAATAAAAAATAACTTCATTTAATTATATAAACATGTATTTTGTTGATTAATGGAAAATTTTTGAAATATTGTGTAATGTTCATACAATTAATTTTTATAATTAAACTTACAAATTTTGTAAATCTTCAAAACAAGCATATTATTTAAAAAAAAAAAATTTTTTTTTTAATTACGATAGGAATGAATAAAAAAATAATAAAATACTTTTTAATAAATTTGATAAAATTTGTTCATTTAATAAACAAAACAATTAGTAGTAAGTTCTTACTTAATTTAAATGCGTTTTATTAAATTTTCATTAAACGTTTTTTATTAATGTTTTATTAAATGTTTAAAAAGAGTTTTTCAACATATTTCAATCAAAATTAAATATATTTCACTGTGCACCAGAGAGACCGCCAGGATTTTTTGTCGTGGCACTCAAACCAAGTCCTTATTATATGAAAGTATTATATATTGTTTTAGAAAAAAAAAAATTTCATTGCGTTGCCATCATACCTTTTTTGATATAAAAATATATAAAAGTGTAAAAAAATTTCTTAATTTTTTGCCAGATCTAAACTTAAAAAAGTGTTTCAAAAAATTGTTTTAATCCTTGGAAACCACTGTTATATATTCTTTTAATGGAGCTAACATAATTTATTTTGTAAAAAATATTATTCAATATGATAGTTTAAAAATAAAACTTTAAATGTTTAAAAAATATTTTTCTACAAATTTTTATATATATTTAACTAAGAATTAGTTATTTATTAAATTAATTATACTGTAACCTCATATTAAATGAACTTATAAATTTGATTACCCACTGTACTAACAAATCAAAAAAAAAAATCTTATCTAAGCAAAACTAAAACTAATCAAAAAATATTTTCAACATCAAAACATACAAGTACCGTGGTCAAAATGTCATAAAAAAAAATCAATAGCGCTTGATTGCAGGCCATTCCTGTCCAAGTCTGATATATATTTAAAATAGGACATGAATTTTGAATAAAAAATACACTTTAGGATGTATAAATGTTAATGCAGCCTGGTCGCGAACCTGGCCACGGCTATATTTTATCAAACCTATGTTACATTATTGCCTGCCTAGGATGATAAATGCTAAATCTTCTTAACACTACTCATAGGTTTTTGCTTGTACCTCCATGATATTGGCTATGCAATGCTTCCTGTCATCTCCAAAGGATGGTACAGCTATAAAACTCAGTTTAATGGTTCTAAAGCCGGCTGGTAGTAAGGTTTTCCAAACTCTCTGGTAGCTCTCAGAGGAGCTGATTCCATTAACAACTGCAAAATATGAGTAGTAACCGTACCATGTTGCGGATGGACGGTGTCTCTGTTAGTGATTTTGGTGTGCATTGTGGAGGCCACGTAAGAAACCCTATGTTACAACTTAGGGTTAACTAACAGGACTGAGATGATTGCATAGCTCATTGCTTAGGAGGCAGTGCTCTATCTATGAATGAGTAAAGTTCTCTTTAATCTTAAATCTAGCAAAAAGTAACCCAAAAATTAAACATTTAAAACTATCCCCACGTCATAATTATTTTAATATATTTTTACAAATATTTGTGGTCTGCGAAGCAACCTTTTACCAGTTGAATCTTACGCCTTGCAAAATTTACCAGACTTGCTTGCTCTTAATAAGACTAATTTAAGTTCCACCATTCCTTCTTCCGATCTCAGAGTTGATAGGTACTATCCTTTGATTCACAAAGACTCTAAAAGTCACATGTTTGACTTGAAGGTATACATACGCATCAATGCAACTATTTGTCATAAAATCAAGTTTGAATCCTTTGACCATTCTTTTATGTGCTTCCACTAAGCACTTTTTCACTATATCGCCTTATTTTTTGTTCTTTATCATTCTCTTTCTTCCTAAGAATGCAGGCTTGGTCGGGAAGCGGGAGCGATCGCTCTCGAATATTGACCACGGAAATTATATTTAGTTGCGAGAAACTGGCCAGGTTTTTTAGTCATTTAAGTTTATGCACAAAACAAAAAATTTTTGTTTTACGGACATACATGGAAACATCAAAAACTTGAATGTTCTCAAAATATCTTGGTGCGAAAGAATTAGAAGAATATTCGCGACACTAAAAACCCGCCAAATTAACGAACAAACTAATTCTATTGGTTCAAAAAATACCCTGATTAAATGAAATAAAGTTCTAGAGTATTCTGTTGAAATGTTTTAGAAATTGTATTATTCACGATTTGTAACGTTTTGAGATTTCTAGCATAAATTGTTATAAGAATATATATTATTTGTTTACAAAAATCAATATTAATTAAATTGTCTAAATTTTAAAAGCTTATAATAAATTATAGATTTTATTAGTATATTCTTATTTTTTATTTTAAAGTATGTATTCTTTATGTAAATGTAATTGTGTGTATCTTTTATCGTAATGTATCTTTTAAAGCAATTTTTATGATTTAAACAAAGACTTGCAAAAATATTTACGTTTTCAATGAAGTTTTAATTGTCAAAGTCAATAAAACTAATTATGTAACAAACATATAAGAAGTTTCTGGTTATTAAACACAAACAATGCATACAAAGTAACTCGCGGATGAACAAGCACAGCGCCTGAGGTCACGACATAACAAACATTTATAGCAAGTAATTAAATACAAAGAAAAGTTTCTAGATATTGGTTTACTAACTCTAATTATTTTCGTTTAAGTTGCCATTCTTAAAACTCGCTTTTCTGCTTTAAATACTAATTAAAATTAAAAAGCCCACTCACTAAACATCATCAGCGATATTGTGAAGCAGTTTCGCTTCCTCGTAATTAAGTATATTTAACCTTTTTATCTTGTTAATTTAATTTCTATAGTAACTCAATGATTAAATTATTTCATTTGTTTATCTCACTAAGAAGAATTGCTTCAAATATGTTAAACTTTTCAAACTACACGAAACATAAAATACGTATTAAAAAAATTAACTTTTTTATTTATAAAATAATTTAGCTTATATAAAACTTTTTAAATAAAAAATATTTATTTCCTTTTTAAACAATCGCAAGTTGTTACATATATAAAAAACATCGCTTAATTTTATAAAAAAAAATTAGAGATAAAAGAGCGATGTTTCGAAAATATTTGTCTAAACGTAA